CGTGCGGGAAACTTCCATTTAAATCGAGCGGCGCGAATCCGTGATTCGATTGAAATCAGCGACGATAAGAGCCGAGAAGAACAGACGTCAACTTTATGAATAATTGATGAAGCTCGTTAGGGTATCCACCGACGGTCCCAGGTGTTTTATTCGATGCTAACACTCGTTCATCTCGAGATGCGAGTGTCCGTGATTGAAAGGACGCACAACGGCCAGATTACTTTTATTGATTTCGTGAATTTCTCAATCGATTCTTCATCTTTTATGAAAATTCACTCGAACGGGTACATTAATCACCGTGAATTTAATAAATTCATGAAACTGTTTAACATGATAATGCGATCTGAGATCATCAAGCCTCCGTACAGATTCAAAAAGATTAGGACGCATCCAAGGCTTCGAATACATTTCTGGGCGTAGAAAATTTATATGTATATCATAGGATCACGCGAGAGCTGCGTAAAAGAATTCTCGGGGCGTCGTGGTATAAAATTCTCGAGGGATTTCAGTCGAGGCTCCAAGCATTTAAGTTTAAATCTGAGCGAGCATGGCCGGTGTAAAGGTTCGTCGAATCAGAAGGGGTAACGAACTAGGTTCGCGCGATCTCTCTCGCTATCTTATTTACTGCGTCAGATACTATCTATCTGTACGCCAAAGAGATCTCATTTCGATAAGTCGATGAGGTTCTCGCCTCGATTCTAATTCGTTGCTCTCTCGGTGATTGAATTTCGGATACACGGTGAAGGGTGTAATGTTTCTAACAAGTTTTTCGTTGCTACATACGTATCGGTGAAAGCTTTTAAACTGGAGTACCGGATCTCATAATACAATTTTCATTTACATATGAGTTGGTGATAACGCACACATTTCAGTCCTGTTATTAATACCGCTCCATTAATAAAAAATTGAAACGGACGACTTTGTACACATAATACCGGGATTCGTTCGATATTCATATCTGCTGATAGAAACAAGATCACCTGTACATTTTTCCAGGGAATGGAATAAATCGCGTTCGACAGTGCGCGCATGGTGTATGCATAAAGAAGACGAAGCTCGTAAATACGGAAACAGATACCGAAGGCGTAAAAGAATATTTTCTGTTCTCGGCTGTCTGGGAAAGTGCCGTTTACCACCTGTCGATTGCAACCCGTCGAGACCGCAGGTGGCAAACCCTTCTATTTAACATCCATACGCGTCGTTCTCCTGTCTCATTGTCGTGTTACGTTACAAACAACTTCGTTAGTTCAAAGTGCAGAGTCGATTGTACATGATGCGGTAGGGGTGACTCATTACAATTTCAGAAGTCAGTCGTTCTGTTAACCGTTGCACGGAGGTGTGTTTCTGTTGCGCGGCGTGTGTCGTCGTGATCAGTGCGTGTAGTAATTATTAACTTGGTTACGAGTAAAACAATGTTGAATATTTGAACGTGGTTAGATCACCGTGAAGGTTCTAAAGGTGAGTTTTATTTGCCGTTGCCGCTGTGCTCGATAGACAATAGTTGTGCTAAACATACCAATCGTCATAGAAAATCGTTTCGTTGGCAACAAAACAAATAAATTCTCAATATTCTCCTGGTTCGAAAGACGCTCTACGTATATTGTCCGGTTCAATAAATTCCTATCGATATTCGTAGCTCTGTCAAGACGATCCATTTTTCATCAGGCCTCGAACTTTAGAGAGGGCAGGCATCGATACAGACGGAGCACGCGATCCAGGATAAATTTCCGTGCAATTTCAATACGAGGATCTTTTCCTCTTGTGTAGGCGAAAGCCGCCTCCCCGCCTCTCCGTTTTTTTCTGTCCTCTTCCGCACACACGAGACGGGCCGAGGGTAAGACGAGCGGATGGGAGCCACGCCGGATATTAAAAATATCTTCCGTCGGCAACGGGCAGCGATCGACTTCCGGTTTATCCGTTTTACTCTATTTCCAAAGCGTCCTCCGAAGCTCGATTGGTTGCCTTCCAACCGTCCCCTTAACCCCCTTGTCGTTCTCTTCGATTTTTCTGACTCGCTTCCGCGACTCCTCACTCGTCGCTTCTGTTATGTTGCCATTATTTTCTCAATTTCATACATCTATCTAAAATCTGTAAACATCGCGGAAGACACTCAACGAAATGCCTCTGCAAATATATATGTATATATGCGAAGAGACTTGACGGAACAGTGAAGTGTACATAGAATGGCCGTGATAAACATCCATGAACTTGAAGCTGAATAATTTTATTCGTGCACGACAAACTCGCTATACATTCGACTATTTAGCCTAATTCAAACGAGGCGAAATTGATTCTATTCTCTGAGGGAAGCTAATACCTATGCTACCTTGTTGGAAATTGTTCCTGGAGAGTTGTTAAAGTAGATTATGTGTCCCGGGGATGTTGCATATTCCCGAATCCCCCGCTGCAACATTGCGAGTGTCCCTAATTTCGAAGATAAAGCCTCATCTGGCTGCACCGTTTCGCGCGTGCGAACGAACATAGTATATATAGGTTAACAAGAATTCCAAGTATCTTGAGGGTATTGGCAAGGTAGAAGCTCAAAGGTTATGTTACGAGATTCAGTTACGAATTCTCTGCTCTGTGCATTAAAACATTGACACCAAATTCCGGATTTAATTTGAATTCTCTGTTCCATCAGTTTTTATTAGACGTCTGTGTTCTCTCGCTTGGTTGCGGAGTCATCGGAGACAGAAGTTCTCCAAATGTAAACAGGAGTGTCCGTATTTTTTCCGGACCAAATTCTCTTAATTTCTTTAATGACTCTTTTTGATGTGACGTCGATACTTGATATCTACTTGTGATCAGAGTTTCTTTCCGATAAAATACTATACAATTACTTGAATTTTGCCTTTTTTAAATACTGGTCTCGATTGTACCTTGATTATAATTAATTCACGCCTTTGATGACTACAAAGAATATATTTGATTTGTTACTGCGACACGCATTGCAAGCATCGTGATGTAATCAGATTTCTAATTTTTTATCGCACAAATCCGACTACAATTGCCCTCGCGCGTTAAAAATTGCATTATTTCCGCGAATAAGAGGCTCGATTTGGACGCGAACGATCGACGACGCGGAGATCGTTCCCTTTTGTTGGCGTGGCTCGCGGAATTCACTTCACGCGCGGAAATTATCCCCGGGGGAGTCGCGGATTTCGTTATCGGCCGGCGTCGATCGGGCGAAATTGCCGGCCTCGGAGAATGGGTCTCGGATTCGACGACGCCGATCGGCCCTCGAACGCGGCCGCGATCAAAATTATAGCGCTCGACTCGCGTGCGTCGAACGCGCCCGGAAAATTGCCCAGCCCGCTTCCGCTCGGAGCTTTTGCCGCGGCCACGCGAAATTTTAGACATCCTCGCCTCGCCCTCGAAAATTTCGTGGAAATCGAAACTATGCGCTATAAAAACGTAGCTCACCAATAAAAGGAAAAAATCCAGTGTTTTTTTCTCATACGAGAAAACCGAGCGTTGCAAAACATTAATATTCTATTTCAGTGTTTTCTTGAAAAGCATCAAGTTCCACTCTGAATTTAAAAAAGACCGAGATAGTAACCGAATTAGTAGATTTAGAACTATATTACATTACGCGGTAAGGAAGACTGACGTCCAATGATCAAATTCATCCCAGCCAATATTAGCCAATGAAATTCTACGGTGACGCGAGAACGGTAATCCCAATTGGATGGAAATCGGGGAGCAAACAGTCGGTTCGCGTCTAATTATTAATAATGTGACGAGTCGTGGGACGAATGGATGGCTGTTTGCCTCTGCGAACGAGATTGGTTACTCTGTACGTGCATTACTACCTATATGGTGTCCGTCTTTTAATCGACGTACATCGTCGAAATAGCTCGCGTTCGCCGAACGAGTCGATCTCGTTCGCAAAGAATGGTCATAATTACCGGAGTTTAATGAAAGACGCGACGCATAAAGGATATGAGGAGATTCAATGCACGTAACGCAATTATCTGCGCGGGCTTATAATAAATATTGACTCGCATGTTCATTTGTTAATAAATTTACTCTGTATCGAATTTCCGTATTTGACTTTTACTTTACGCTACGCACGCGTCCGTTGTGCAAACACGCGATGTATTGCAGCAGTCAGATTTGTTTGTCGTTCATGTGTTTACAATATTTTTGCGACTGCCGATAAACAGAACGTACAATTGCGCAACAGGGATCGATTCTTCAACTGTACGAGGTTCATCGATCCTTGATTTCGGTAACGAGAACACGAAAACACGAGCGAGGCGATACTTAAATAAGGGAGGCCGGATCGATTCGATATTAAGCCGCCCTCCTCCAAAGGAGAAACGTATCCTGGTTTTACGACCGGTTTTTACGGGATCTCTGCGAATTCGCTACCGAGGGTGGAGGGGTGTCTGTTACACCCCCCAGGCTCCCATCCAGCGATCGTGTGCTACATGTTTCAGTATTTCGCGTCAGGGTTGCAGACTATTCCCGGTGCCGTTTCATCCTGTTCCCCTCCGATGGCTAGGGTGCCGCGTGCCGGTGTGTTCCTTCGAACTTTAACGAGTTCATCCTATATGTAATCGCGTCGGTGGCGCAGCGACCGTCGAAACATCAACGACAAATTGGATTTTGAAACAGTCTGTACGTGACCGCGGTACCGTATTCTCGTAGACGCTTCGACTGCGAAACTCGAGGAAGATCCAGGTTCGAATGTACGATTTACGGTGACTGGCTTTGGTCGTTCCGACTCGGACAAAATTTCGTGACTGCGCGACATAAAAATCATTGTTTCCCTAGTTTGACGTATCGCAGGTGCAATTGCTTCTGATTGTTTTCGAGTCTCCCGTGGGAGCTGCAACTTTTTTTTTGCTCCTTCGTCATCTCTACTGATCGTTCATTTTTTATAATGTATGCAGGAGAAATTGTTATAATTCGTGTAGTGAAAATAAATTGTGGAACAACGAACGCTTGACATTAAATGTATTGAGTAATAAAAGTATCTTATCGTTCTTTTTCAGTGAAATATCTGAGAGAAGTGACGCCGTACTTTAGAAAGGCCTCGATCATCCAGGAAGTGGGATGGGAGCTCCAGCGAGGGTTCCTCAGCGCGACACCACCCCCTCCGAAATCTCCACCGCGTGCGGATACGCGTTATCTGCCGCTGCAACTCTGCAGGCTCACCCGGTCTCATCCTTCTTCCGATCCGGGTAAGTCAATTTTTATGTATTACGCGTTGCGATTCCTGCCGCGAGGTAACTAGGAAAATGGTCTGCAAAACTCCGGGAACGGTATAAAACCGGCAAAGCTAATAGGAAAATGCGAGGGCGTTAATTAATGTCGACAAAGAACCTTTGTTTACCAGCCTTAACGTCAAGGCTTTTAGTTCGCTTTCGAATCGTGTCAAAGATTCTTTCACGGAATTCGTTTATTTAATTAGTCAGGTTGTACATCGTTATTTTTAATCCCTTGGAAGCTCTCGAGAAGAAAAAGTAATACAATTGTTTCGGCAGAGCTTAGGTAGGAAAAGAGAATCAGGAAATCGAAGAAGACGCACGCGAGTCGGCAAATCGAATAAACGGGACGAAATTTCTGTTGCCCCGCACGTTTAGAAGTAAACGTTTCACCGGGATTACGTGCACAAGCCTCCGCGTCGCGTCGTGTCGCGTCGGGTGGCACGGCCCACTCGAGAACTGCATGCTCAGCGACCGAGATAATGACAGCCATAACGCAATTAACCCGTTTCTGGGATTACAGTCGAACGACCTGTGCGTGCACGCCGTGCCGCGGGTTTGACAGTCAATTATCGTCTAGTCTAATGGAACGAGCCGCGAGAAAGCCTTCTCTCGAGCGATTCGCGCGTACACTTGGCCTTCACCACCTCTGTATCGCTTTGTTCATTAATCTCTTGTTTATGGATCTAAAGTTATAAACTAATATTCAAATAATAGTACCAAAAATTAATTAGGCTAATAACTTTTGATCAAGTTCCGCTGTCAAACTTGATTGTTCGCGCAGGGAATTCGTTTGACTTGTAGCTTCAAAGACGTTCGAACTGTTTCCTGTCTCTCGTATTTCGAACCGCTTCCGGAGGAACGTGACGCGAGTTTCATCCCTCGGGCTGCAAGACAATAGAGAGGTGGAACGTGTGGATATAACGGGTAAGTGGCTCCCCGTGGCTGAATGAGACCAGTTTTCATCGCGATGCCTGCTCCTTCAAGGGACACCGTAACAAAGAACGAGTTACGAAAGAGTATCGACGTCGAGTTAATGAAAGGCTAATGGCCTCTTAATTCTGTAGAGCCTCCACCCTTGGATCCCTTTGCTCGACTACCCTCGTAGCACCCACGCTCCTAGCGCTCCTTTGACCCTCTCTCAATTTTCCTCATCGGGATGCCTTCGTTTTTCCCTCATTCGTCTAGAGAAAACTCATGTTCCCACATTTTTTGTCGCGTGATTTTTATAAATCGTTCATAAAACTCGCTGTGTATAAAAACATGACGTAGCTTTCCCACCGACGTTTTCCTCGTTATTTCGCGCCTTCTCACTTTTTTACTATCAATGGGTGATCCTCAACGAGGTCCGTCACTCCCTCATCCGCGTTACACAATCTTCTTCGTTCACCCTTTCCATCACGAATTTTCATCGTTTTATTCCCAGCGCCAGTCTTCATTTTTTTTCATCGACTGAGAAAAGGGAATCGTACGTTTCCCAAGGATAAAAGACGTAGGGTTGAAAAATATTCGCACACTATTACGTTTATTTCATGTAGTCAATTTAATTCAATTGTTGAGCTACCATGAAATTCAGTACTAGTAAAGTTATATACGATCGGAAAATATTCCATTGTCGAGTAAATAAATTTGTACACGCTAAAAGTGGATGGTGGAGAAATGAAAGGTACTGGAAATCGTGGAAACACAATCCAACGTGAGAGTAAATTATTGAGCAAGCAAAATCAGCAAAAGTACTGATATTTCTCAAACGAATAACGAGTCAGTTGGATGTGTCCACGAGCATTGTCGTGTTTATCCTGTATCACTAGCCTCTAGTATGGTTGACGGAGATCTGGGAAATTGTCGGAGGGACGCGGCTAGCAAACAGCATGCGGAAGAATGTCGCTAAATTCATCCGGAGTTTGTTCGCCAAATATTCAACGTTTTTCACCCCTCCTGGCTCCGATTCCTCGTGTTTATTCGGTCCTAGAATCGTCCCCAAATGTAAGTTAAGCAAATTCGCTCTAAAAATATACATATGATGGTATGTGCAAGCATTTCAATATTCTAAATAGACAGTATTCGTGTAATAAAAACTTCGCGTAAAGGTAATAAAAATTAACTTGGATAATAAAATTCAACGCTGGGATTTTTTCGGTTCGATGGGGGGAAAGCAAACTTTGATATCGTTCCTTTACCATGGACGAAGTTCCGGTTCGAATCGACTTTTCCCGAAAGGGGTGAGGTTCGAGCGTCGCGCCGGGGGTAAGTGGAAAGAATGGTAGACGTTAATGGCGTCCCTTTTGTACGGGGGCTGGATGCATTCGAGGCGCGTCTACGCTCTCGCACGGACGCGTTAAAATTTACAGTAAATCTCGGGGTGAGACCTGGGCCGGAGACACGCGCGCGGGGCGGCGTAGGAGGAGGTGATTCCATCAGTCGTTCGAGAAAACGCGTCACGTTCGACCGGAATATCTTTTCAAGAGTTTATCCAGACGCGGCGGAGCTTTCATCCCCGGAGAAGCTTATTTACAATTTATCGTGACACGCGTAACGGTCTGACGGAAATGTAATTGTTATTACCGTAGCGGCAGTGAAAATATTATGTATGATTTTATACGTGCAGCCTCTCTGCAATCCGTTTTCCTCGTACGATAACGGTGCAGGATTTTATTAGAATTTACTCGCGGATAGTTACATTCCCTTCGTTTGCTTACTGAATATTCGTGCAGGGAACCGAACGAATTATTGCGTCCGCGTTTTACCGGGGAGCAGATAACGTTCCGTCGGTGGAAGAAAAGCGAGGGGTCGTCGGACGAGAGTAGATATATGAAGAGGCTGATCGTTGACCGAGGGCAAACACGATAGTCGGGAGAACATGTAAAAAAGGAGCGTCGGAGGGAAAGGATATCGGTTATCGTCTGCGAATTAAAACAGTCGAGTCGCGTGAACGGTACAATGAAAATTGGCTAATTGAATTAGCAACCGACTAAGGGCGAACAGACAGAAGCTTCCCGTAAACCGGAGCGTCAAGTTTTAGACGGGTTCCATTTAAAAGAAGTGCTAAAAATAAAGATCTCTCACTCAATTAAGATCACCTGTTAATTATACGAATATTGATGAATCAGGCCGAGTCTCTTGCCCATGCTGCTTGCTCTCCAACCTGCTCGTTCCATTATCCTCGAATTCGTCGAGTTGCCCCTTTCGCGAATTCCACTAGTTGAGCAAGTATTTATCAGCCGAATCTCCATTATCCATTCCGTACACCTTACGTTATAGGCATGTATAAAAGCCTGGCCTTGATTTGCGAATACTTACGCGAATTCTTGTTGATAAAAGTGAAGAATTATGTGAATACATTGAAGTATCTTTTATATCTCGAAATAATAAAGTAATTGTACTTTTTAAAAAAATGTAAAAACTCTTCTGTGTGATATGGATCGACGAATTTGTCGAGAAAGAAACTGCGAAGTTGATGCTATATCGAATTTCGTCCGATCCCTCTAATTAATGCCACCGAGTAGCACTCGAACGTGAACCGCTCTCGCGATCGAGTTGCATCCGTATCGAGCACGACGTTCTATGACACACTCTTCCCTCGTTCGAGTAGCAAATCAAACGAACCTTCACCACGCGTTGTACACGGCGTAACTTAGTTTTTTCTCGAGATCGTTGCCAATCGTCCTCGATTCGTAGAAGCGAACCATCTCTCTGTAGACACATTAAGTCGGATCGGGGGGGAGGAGGCGAGATCGGGGTGCGAGGGTCGATGTCGGAGGTTCGACTGTGCACTGGGTCGGGAGGATGCGAGAGTTAAATTAGTTTCCGGGGCAAAAGCTGGGCTGCCGCTGGGCTAACCCCGTGTATAATTCCAGAACAGCTCCATCAGGCTGGAACCCACGAAGAACCTTCCATCTAGTGCCGCCATCGTCGTGCCGCCCACTCGCCCCTATATCAAGCATCATCCCCATTCCGTCTCGTCCCGTCCCACGCCGTTCCGTACCGTTCCGTTCCATCCTTTGCGCATTCGCCTTGTGCCCAGAGTTCGCGGGGGCTGCAGTTTGCGAAGTTAATTACCGTCGGATAATTGCGCTCTATATGCCTGCCGGCCTGATTAATGAGCCAGCCGCGTGTCATTCGATCGCATGTCCTTCCTTTTGTCTTCCTTGCAGCTCGGACAAAACTATTGTCCATCCTCTATCCGAGTGATTAAATTGTGCGGGATGCATCCCGCGTTTTTGAGACACTAGAAACTTTCTGAACTCTTCTAAGTTCTTGCTTAAATACCTGTCACAATTTGAAGAAAATATTAAAAATCGTCGGTTGACCGGCTTAAGAATTCCTTTTTGTAAAGGATGCGACCGAGAGAAGAGAGTGAAAAATGGCATAGATAACGAACGTCCTGAAATCGCAAGGGCGTTATCGGTAACAAGCGGAATTGCATTGTACGTAGGTGGAAGGCCTCTAGGTGTGTGGTCTCATTACCGTCTCGGCGACTCGCGACGCGACGCAACGCGTTCGCGCGTGCACGATAGCGATGCACGCGTGCTAGTCCGACGCTTGGGACTATTATCAGGCCGTGTAGACGTTGTCCGTGTCGCCGTTACAGAGGAGGGTTCCATTATCCTCTAATATCGTTACACGGAGACCGGCACGGTTTGCACCGAGCAACGGGCACGATAATGCCCGTTACGCTAACGACAGGTATATCGTTAACGGCTATTCTTGTGCCCGCGTGCGTGACGTCTGCGTCTCGATTGTTATTTAATAACGGTCCCCCAAAGGACTTGCTCTCGTTTTGCTTCCTCCTTTGAGCTTGGACCGATATTACGTTTGGTTCAGCCATTGCACCGTTCCTTTATGCTCACACAATTTTTTACAGTTTGATCGATCAGTTTCTTTACGTCTGCAATTAGCAGGATAATTGCGCGCGATAGCAATTTAGATTGCACCCCATCAAACATATGCAACTCTTTGTTAAAAATGATGACTGC